GAAAAAATTCTGCGCGATGAAAGGCCGCGATGTGGAAAATGAAGGTGAATCCAGACATCAACGGGTACTCTTCATGCCATGGAAGTTTCGTTTCACAGGGCACCTTCAGCAGCAAGGACTTGAGTACTCGACCCTTGACACGGGGTACGCCCTGTCAAGTTTTGAACAGATTATTCAGGGTTCAAATATACGGAAGTTGCCGAAGAGATTACTAGAAAAATTTTTGGTCAGCGACCTGGATGGCAAGAAATTTCCAGTTGTGGTCAAGCGGTGAAGGGGTTCTGACTCCAAGGGGCTTCATTGTGTCTGCGAGCTGACTTAATCACTGGTGAATGGGAGAGTCCAGATAGGAAAAGCCTAGTACTTACATCAGACCGTCGTACTACAAACCATGGTGAACAGAGTACTGCTTGAATTGCAAAGTAGTCATAGTGGGAGCCACTTCGGAGTCGATAGGACGTTGTCTCGAGTAAGAGATCGGTAATTATGGATCAACTATCGTAAAGATGTCGAGGAATGGTGCAAGAGATGTACTTTCTGTGCTTCCAAGAAAGGACCCAAGACGAGATCCCGAGGAGTAAAGGAAAAATTCTTGTCTGGTTACCCCCGGAAAATAAGTGGCCAGAAATAGTTCGACTCTCCAATCAAGAATCGGTTACTGGAGCATTGCCTACTGAAAAACATCATAGGGACACGCGGTAAAGATAGTGATCACGGGGAGGAGTTTCGAGTCCGAGGTATGGACACAACTGATGAGGTTATTGGGAATAAGGAAAATCGGAACGACTCCACTTCATCCGCAATCAAGCGGCGGCCACTAGACATCTTTAATGAAGGCGACACCGTCTGGTTGTATCAGCCACAAAGAAGGAAGGAAATAATCCCAAAATTACAAAGACCGTGCCATGAAACTTACAAGTTCGTTGAGAAGATCAACGACTAGTGTACCGGATTCAACTTTTGCCTGTAAGCGCAGCCAAATGTCGGTTACATAGAAAGGGTATAGAAAGGGTGGCCCCCAGATCAATGACTTAGTATACAGGATTCAACTTTTGCCGAAAGCGAAGCCAAAGGTCGGTTACGTAGAGAGGCTGGCTCCCATACAGAAGAAGGAATACACCGACTTGGATGCGACCAGGAGAAGCTATTCGGGGCAAACAAGTCTCAGGAAGGAGACAGTGTTGTGCTAGTTTCGTCGTGATTCTTATGTCATTGTCTTGAATTAAAACTTATTTCAGTTTGGAAAAGTAGTCTTGCTTGTCTACGAACTTGCTTACGATTCAGTATCTTCAGATTTTTCAAATTATAATTATTTGCTTCACCTATGGGTAGGTATTTTTCGTGCTTTTTAAAATCTAGATGAGATTAAATGAGAAACATATACATTAGTAAATATGTACTGCTTGAAAAGCTTCTACAGTGAATATGATGAACCAATCTTTTAAAAAAGGGAAAGATTTTGCTGTTTTCTTCACTCTTCAGGAATGTATCCAGTACTTCAGTTTATTACCGTAAATATCTGGACAATATAAAGTCGGCTTGGGAAGTAAATACCTGAATACAAATGTATGGCTGTTCTTTTTATATTTTTTTCTCGCGTTGTGTTTTCTTGCATTTATACAATAAATAACTTCTTTCGGCATACCTACTTACAGTAGGTAAATATATTACATACCTCATCGTTCGATCATAATGTCCTAAGGATTGATTGGACGTTCCAGAAACAAATCAACTTTGTGGTAAAAAATTGGCACCCATCCCATAGGTAAATTAATAAAATATTTTGATCTGGTGGGTTGTTGGTAATTAGGCACGACAAATATCCCATTGCCCATTGCTCTGCTGTCCATCCATAATGAACAAACTAAACTAAAGATTCGTAGCGGATCACAAATGAAATGAGAATCACCTGTGTTTATAATAGAAGCCCAGATAGCAGCAGATTGGAAATTTTGTACTGAAGGTGATTCGTAGAATAAAGACATAGGTATGATTAAAATGAAAAATCGGCAGAAACAAAACTATGGTACACAGTCAAGTCCACCTAACTGATGTATAGCAATGTTCCAATTATTATTCAGTACCTACTACTTATATTTCATTCAACATATGGAAACTTGCTCAGACACAGGTGAGTTTTCTAGGCTGTGTTTCAAACATAGGAAAAAATAAACCAAATAAAAAATCTACATGATTTCTTGAGGACAAGTATGTGCTAAGAAGGCATTGAGATTTTTATGGAGAATATTAATATTATTTCATCCAATGAATCGACATTCTTTGGGAGGTTTCATTTAGATGTTTTGTGTTGCGTTTCATGGTTGCCTTTATTGAAGATGGGGTTATTTTAGTATTTAGTTTAATTTGGGATTAATTATTGTTAATTAAAGAGGATACCTATATAAGTAGGTATGAATGTTCAGAAAATTATATTTTTAAACACTCATACTTGTATGAATAATGTAATGATTCACTGGATTTCTTCAAACTGTTAAAAAAATCTCATATCACAGAAAACTATCAAAACAAAATAGGGCGGGCTAATTTAAATTTCCTATAAAGAGTGGTACCTATATGTATGTACAGGGTCTTCGATTAAAGCCCATACCTACAGCCTTTACTATTTGATACAGGCGCGGATCCAGACCCAAATTAAGGGGGCGGCCATACAAAATATTGGAAGGTACAGAGTGTCTGGTTATAATTTGACACCCCACCTTTATAGGTAGATGATAGGTGTAAACACAAAAGTGGAGCAGTTTTAGCTAAATTATTGTCAGAAATTTGAAATTTTGCGTACTTTCAACTTTTTTCAAATAGAATGCCCTATATTTGATTCTATATTCTTGAAGAGTACAATTTCCCGATTCCAAAAATATATAGTTTCTCTATATTTAGTTGAGCCGTCTCCACCATATTTGGCTTCAAAGATTTTAAAAATACATACTATCAGAGAAACCAAGTGCCTCAAATTTCACCTGAAGCTTTCATCAGAATGGTTCACAAAATCGTCAATAGGATAGAATTTTTCCAATTTTTAGAGCCAAACATGTTGAAGGCGCCTCAAACAAATATAGACAAACTATATATTAGAAGCAAATATAGGGCATTTCATTTAAAAAAGTTGAAAGTACGCAAAATTTCAAATTTCTTACAATAAACTTTTGTTTTTAAAGATGGATTCTGAAAATTTAGTTAAAACTGCACAATTTTTGTGATCACACCTATCATCTACCTGTAAAGGTAAAGGCTGCAGGTGGGGTGTCAAATTATAACCAGACACCCTGTACATACAAATAGAGTAAGCTAGAGGTCCGTGATAAAATGGCGCCATGAAATAAAATGCTGTTATACAGGGTGTCCCACGGTGGATGGCGTATTAGACGTTTATGGAGAACTAAAAAGCGGATCATTTTGAAAATTTGGCAACCGGGATAAACGACCATGATCTACACTTTAAAAATATTTTTGACCATGCGGTGTTGCTGCTTCTACTCTAAACTAGTGGCAACATCACTATTTTAAATGGAACACCCCATATTAAATTGCATATTTGGATTCTACGTAAAATTCTGAGCAGATTTCATGTGATATACCCTATACCTAAGTTCAACTGTTTTGGAAATATTGACAGTTGAAAATTGACTTTTTGCAACTTTGACAGGCTGTAGAACCGGAACGGTTAATTTTAGAGGAAAACCGATTTTACATTCCTATCTTAGATTTTTATAAACTATCATTTGACACCATCTTTGAATTAAATCCATGATTAAAAATTTCAGTTAAATTTAATCTCCGGTTAAGTTCAAAGTTGGTGTCAAATGATAGTTTATCAAAATCTAAGATAGGAATGTGAAATCGGTTTTCCTCTAAAATTAACCAATTAGGTTTTACAGTTTGTCAAAGTTGCAAAAAGTCAATTTTCAACTGTCAATATTTCCAAAACAGTTGAACTTAGGTATAGGGTATATCACATGAAATCTGCTCAGAATTTTACGTAGAATCCAAATAGGCAATTTAATACGGGGTGTTCCATTTAAAATAGTGATGTTGCCACTAGTTTAGAGTAGAAGCGGCAACACCGCATGGTCAAAAATATTTTTAAAGTGTAGATCATGGTCGTTTATCCCGGTTGCCAAATTTTCAAAATGATCCGCTTTTTAGTTCTCCATAAACGTCTATTACGCCATCCACCGTGGGACACCCTCTATACGGGTCCTGGTAAACCCGGAAAAATTGATCGATTTAATGTTGTGGATTTTTAAAATTATTTTTTCTTATCTAGGGGGGGGGGCATGGCCATGGATCCGCGCCTGTTAAGATATAAAAAAACTCACTCAAATGTAATCAATATATATTTGGAATCAGGAAGAATCTTCCATTTTATCGCGTAATATAGAGTGTTCCATTAAAAAAAGTTATCTAAGTTTTTCCATTTTCCGATGCGATTTTGTTTCATCTGGTAAAAGATAATATAGAAAAAAACTTTCATGTAGATTTTTTTTCAATTTTAACCAGTAAAGACTGTAAGTATGGGCTTGAATATAATCAAAGACCCTGTACCTATAAAAAAGACATAATACTATATTTATTGAGTATATGCCTATGCAGGCATTCAAAACAAGTCGCAATTGTATCAGAACAATATTTAGTTGGCCACGTATGGATCAAACATGTATTAATATTCTCCAATATTATCTAGCAAATAAATTTTTTGACTACCATGATAAATATTATCTTATCATCAATTGTCATTAAACTAAAGTTTGATTCTTTCAAATGCATTTTTGTACAATGAAAATCTACTTAACACAAGGTGCAAACGATTGTCATAATATTTGGAGGCGAAATTGAAAACTTATCAAAAAGTTATTGATAAAATAAATTATGTTTAGTACACAACTATTATTTGGTGACTCTAAACAACTAACTCTATAATATGGCGTTCCACAAATAGATCAGTGTCACAGCAGCAGTAAATGACGATCCCTTAATGCATGTCACAAGACATCATCATGATCATCCATGTCATTGTCCATGTCTCCATCGTCCTGATCTAAATCATCTTCCATTCCTGGCGACATCTGATGCATCATCGCTGCAGCTGATTTCGGGTCTTCATCTTTCCATTTATCCATAGATCGCCTTCTCGCGTTCATGAAGAAATTTCCGACGGTTGTTGGTTCTAAACCCAACTGCCTCGCAATTGTTACTTGCATCTCTTTAGAAGGCCTCTTGGTTTCCTAAAATGAATTAATAGTTTAAAAAAATACTTTATATAGAGACGCTTCTCCCTTTTATGAGACCCGATGTGGTAAACCCTCATGCTTATTATTGAATTATATATGTATTCAATAAAAATCTGGATTATATTCTTAGCAGTGAAAGTGTTAAACTTTTGTTTTCAAACAACATACGTATTTCATATGAATAACCATTAACCAAGTTGTGAGTAGCTCAAAAAATGAACTAAGCTACTGTCAAATCAATTTATACAAAACCTAGTAAAGACACCAAATGAACTAGAGATTTTATTGTTAGAGAGACATCCCCCGCATATTATGCCTAATTGTTGCTGCAACTACGACTATTGCTGGATATAGAGTCGCGTTCACCTAAATAAATAATATTTACGTTCAAATTACCGCATCGGACAAATAACCAACGAGAGTTTTTACATGAAAAACTAGGACCTCACTATCATCAATAAATTTTATTGCTACAAAAATCAATGACAGCCATATCAAATGGAACATTACCAAACCGTACCTTTTAGACCGTTTACTGCAGGGACTTCAGCTTCCTATAACAACGACAGAAAAGGCTGTAAGTTTTGCATCTAGACAGGCAAGAAAACTGTTCAAAACAATAAACCCCTTGGATAGTAAAATAGCGGAACGACTCGTAACAGTGATAAACGTGGCAATTGGATGAAAAAAGTTTCCATGAGCATTAAAAATCGAAATGATCCAGTCAGTGTGCAGAAAAACGTAATCAAAAAAGATATAAAAAGTAACGGGGGGGACCGGCACAGGGTTCGGTACTGGCACCACTTAGATTTATATTGTTTGTTAGAGTTTTATCACTCACATAAAATGCCGACAACACATCAGTGAAAATTGGAAATATCCGCAGTGCGTGGGGAGCAATTTTTGGCATAAGATTGAAGTAGTTTGTGAGCACCAAAGAGACGACAAAATCCATGGACGATACTCTTCTCGACAACATCTGTTATGCAATAGCCTACCACTATCTTTCCTAGAACATGATCCTTTGGACGAAAGCAACAAACTTCAATACGCCGTTTGTGGGCCATTGGGAGAATTTTTGTACCGAAACCTCAGGAATTGTGTAGAGTCTCCAGTGAGGAATATAGAATATTGACAGTAGCGTTAATATTTATATTTGAACTTGCCCTATGGTTACAGTCGTGACCATTAAAAGTGGGACACCCGACTGACAGGTCTTGTCATTTTTCGCTATTTTGGGTAAATCAGTCTTTTCTATACAACGGATTTTTTGTCAAATATGTCAATCCCTGTCATTACCGACGGTGTAGCTGGTGAGCCCGTTTTATAATAGGAAAAATCGAGTGTCCCATTTTAATGCTCATGCGACTGTACATAGAAATAGGAAGAGGTTTACCCATAACCAAGACTACCAGACAAGAAATGCTTCTGCCCTAACCAGACCGCCACATAAGACATCGTATTACGAAAATCAAACTATACAACGGATTATCCGAAGGAATACAGGGTATAACGAATATAGACTAATTTCGGAAGACACTTACAAAATTCCTAATCGAAAAATATTTTATAATCTGAATTAAGCACCTCTTTGCAAAATGAATTTAAATTTTAAATAGGTACCTACATACAATTTGTTGACTACTGAGTTCGAGTCCTTGATCAAAAATGGCCTACTAGAAAAATTGGAACGTGATAATCGTATTAAAAAAATCTGAGGAAACCAAAAATGCTTTTCAACAGTAGAAGTAATAATGAATACTTCAAGATTCTTAAGGTCAACTTAGATCATTTTCCTTATAAATATGGCCAAGTACTAATTTTCGCGCCATCGAGAGAAAATCAATTATTTCCCAAGTTTTCCTGTGAGTAAGGGCTAGGAATACATTTTCCTGGCGCAAGAAATGCACCGATGAAGCCAAGTAAATATTCCTCTAGATCTGGTTTTTTCCATCGAGCTAAAGATATAAACAACTTGATGGATGTGTATGCGGTATTCCTATTTTATGCTAGAGCATAGGTTCGTATTTGAGAACATCTTAATGGTTTATTTTCAATATATCAGAACTTATAAGTAACTATTCAAACCATTATAGGCTACTTGATCTTGAAAATATAGTAAAAGAGTTATAATTAGGTACAATGGTAAAAGTTTTTAGGAGTTATGAATATAAACACGACCGAATTCGTGTTTTGAAAGTACCTATTGTATTATTGATTGGTAGATCAAATCTCATATTTTCTTAAGTGTAATGACTAAAGTTTTTACTGGGTTTCCGTGTGTACTATACATGCTATATAATATCTTTTCGGTCAAATGTGTGATGCCTACCTTAAAAATAGCCTGAAGAGTACGCCTCTGTAGATCTGTAAATACCAAGCGAGGTTTCTTGGGTGTAGGCATCTGTTCCGTATTGCTCGTAGGGTCCTCTTTCCGTTTGCAACCTGTTTCATCAAAAATAAGAAAATGCGATTAAAACATATTTTGTATCAGATTTTAAAATATCTATAGTATATTTCATTGGAGTTGATAGCTTAAATCGAGGTCTAGGTCCATGAAAAAAATTGTAAACCCAAACCCTGTGGTTTACAATAATTTTATGGTGAGGAGAAGAAGTTTTATGACCTGGGCTGGTCAAAATATGGATGGACGGTGACTGCACAGCGAGGAAGACAGACTTGGTGATGACTCGATATGGCAATAATAGCCTATATGTCAAGTACTAGATATTGTTGATTGTAAACAGGTGGATTCTTCAATTACTATTTCAAACCAAACTGGGAGAACAGTACATAAAAGAAGTTCGAAAAGTGAGAAAGCATCTGGAATTAGCTGAACTTTGAAATGCAGTGTATGAAGTACCCAATAGTGTGAATAAGAATCATTTATATCAGCGCATGCGTATTCCAAAAATGCCTTTGTCGTCTACGTCTTCGGTGATTTTGTTTTCGTTTCGGCTTCCGCCATTTTCGATTCTTTTCTAATGTCTTTCTTTCTAGTTTTCTGTGCTTCGCCGTGTGTTTTCCTGTAATAATATTTTCAATTCGAAAACTTTTTCTCATCTTCGAGTCTCATATTTACTAAATTATGATGTGCTACTTATTGTTTCCTGTAGGTACCAAATTTTAATTTCATACGCACCAATGGTTCGAATGGTTGTTGGTTCTTCGGCTTCTTCAATTATTAGGTACTTTTTTCCAAGAATATATAGAGTAATATTCTCTTGCGATTTGCAACAAACACAATAAAAACAGGTATTCAAGGTTATAATCAAAGAAAACACGCGAATGTATTTATAGAAGCGCCAACACTTCGGGGCGGAAAAATTCCTTTCAATTCAATATGTATGGAACGGCTGAACAGTGAACGACGATTTTTCTATAACGAAACTCGCATTCGCAATTCGTAATTCGCATGTATATAAACTACACTTAAGAATCGCGAAAACAATTCGAATTCTCTACAGTTTCAAAAATTAGCATAAAGATACAAGTGTTTCCAGAAACTCTCTGAATGACTCTGAAAAGTCGAGACTGTACATCAAGGAATCCCAAAAAAAAACTTGTTATGGCATTTATACAAATGCAAGGAACAATAGATATTTGGCAACGTTTCTGAGAAGATACCTTTGTTAACGTGTTTATATCAGATGAAAGATGGAAGCTTTTTTCAGCATGGTGGAAATAGCTGGCAACACCCTATTACTAACCCAAACTTTCCCGCTAAAATAATGGTTTGGGAAGCAATATCTCAGTGTGGTGCTATAACTCCACCTCCAGACCTTAGTCCTATGGAAAACATATAGGCATTAATAAAAATTGAAGTAGAACGAGGCCCACTTTTTTCGCAGCTAGTTTCAAATCTGAGATTATTTCCTTTATTACTGCCGAATCGCTACTGATCAAGACGATATCATTCGCGAAGCGGAGGCGGTTTGAATATCGACAGTCGATATTTATTGTCTGTGATTTCAGTTGAGCTTCTCAAGACACACTCACGTGAAGAGCTTCGGAGACCTGGTGTCTCCTTTCATAACTCCTCTATGGACTTCGCTCTGTAATATAGGTTCTCTATTAGGTCTTTGTAACTGCTATGTATTGTCGCATTATCCAATGCTTGAAATATGACTGAGGGTTCAACGAAATTAAAAGCTTTATTACAATCAATAAAAGCCAAGAGTAGATGGATATTCTATTTGTTGCATTGTTTACAAATGTCTCACTGTTTTGTATCTGTTCTATCGTGACAGTCCCCTTACGAAATCTAGCTTGCTCAGGCGATTGGTAGCTGTTTTTTTAAGCAATTCATAAGGATGAGATAGAAGGCTTATGGAACGAATATTTTCTATATGCAGTATAATAATGTTCTTGTGTATTGTATAAGTACCAGTCGTCAGGAATCATTCCACTTTGAAGACATTTGTCGAAAAGTATCCTTAATAACTCGATTGCAGCAGTTCCTCGTAGCTGCAGCATCTCCTTGATGAGTACCGGCCACTCCGGCGACACAGCAATTTTTCATCTGAGACACAGCCAGTATAATTTAATATTTCGTTATGCCAGGCAGGTCTTCAGAGACGTCATTCATGACGTTTAAATCTAAAGTTTTCTGGCTTCGGACTTTTTTGAGAGTAGAATGATTTCAAAAAAATGTATTGTTAAGTTTTAATAAAACGGAGTTCAAATCTTAACTGCACATTCACAATTCACATAATGATGAATTGAAGTAAATATTGAAACTGTTACATATACCTACCTAATAATATAGGCCGTTTTACAGCTTGCAATTTGACTTGTTTCCTTCTCTAACTTTAACCATAGGTACTTTTTTGATTTTAATTTTGTGTTGTTGATGTTTGTATTTTCCAAAAATGAAAAAAGTGATTATAAGTCGATATAAAAATACGGAAGCAATAGCAGCCACTTTAAACTTCAAAATTGCTTATAAAATCCCCCAGCGAAAACATTCAAGAAAAATGGCACCAAACCGATTGCATGCAATGCCATTCAAGTTCCAAGAATGTTGCAGAAAACAATCAGCTGATTCACTTCTTCACATCCCTTCGTTCAAGTTTCTTGCATATTGCAGATAGAATTGCAAGCTGTAAAACGGCCTTATGAAACACTGGAAATAATTTATTATTTCAATGAATTTTAAACAATCAATAAATATGAAATTTGCTTCTTAAATTCTTATTCTAGCTGCATTCCATTACTCTCTATGCATTCAATAATAATCTATATGCTCAAATTCAGTTCAAGAAACAAAGCGCAACTTTCGCATGCAAACATTACCAAACTCTTTAAATACTTACTGCCCCGCTGTGGAATCTGTGCAGCTGAAACAAGAAAATTATACATTAATTCAACTGAGTAATTAAAAATTAACAAAAATTCTTTAAAGTGTACACATTAAAGTTTTGTTGCCAATATATTTGAACATTTATTTGTTATGCTAAATATGTATCAAAATGTACCTTTGGGTAATATTATGTTTCCAGCAAAAATAAGTTCCTTTTCAACTTCTGGCGTAGGATGCCATGTTCTGAGAATCACAAGAAAATGTGGGAGCCCTTTAATTATAGGAGAGTGTGTGCTAGTTCATTAATTTGTTATCGCTGACCCTTCTAATTAAGCTACTTGAAAATGGTACGTGAGAAGCAACAATGTGTAAACCAATATTAACATATACTAGCATTACTAGCGAGTGTCTGCCAATGTCAACCCAAGAGTTAAAGGTATACCTATGACATAAGAACGCACGTGTCAGACAATACATAGACTTTCCATACAGATAAAAGATGTATTGATGTATTGATGTATGAAAAAGTCTGGATATTATCGAAGTAATGTGATGAAGACGAGGCCACTCAACTTCTGGTTTAATTTATCGTGGGTCGAGCTGAATCTTCGCTAAGTCAACCAGCTATATCTATGAAAGAAGAAGTTAGTCTGACTCAAAAGAGTTTATATATAAGTTCTCGTGTTCTGGAAATTGAAATGAAGTAGTCATTAAATTAGTTCAGGACCCTGTTCTCGCAGAGAGTAGAACACATCCCGTTGCGATTCAAGTACTTAGGTTATTCAAAATTGCCGCGTAAATATAAATATCGAAACGGGTAATATTCAAGAGAATTCAAAGAAGCAGGTAAGCTCCATTTTTCAAGGACCTAGTCACCCGACTATCGCTTTAATTGAAGACGAATGTATTTCGGCCAGCCAAAGGACCAGTTGTTTGTGAAATTGTAAACGTCATTATGTCAAGTGTCAAAGCGATACAGTATTTTCGAAGACAGTACTACCAGTATTTCAACTATCAAGTTTTTTTTTTATATATCTTTTAAACACAAGTGCAAGGGACTAATAAACAATAAGCTCAGATAATTTTCTGTTTCTCAATAATCGTTGCCAAATCCTAGAGTCCATACATAATCAAGTCATGTCAAATACCTATGTCTTCACCTAGTTTTGGTTAGTCTTGGGTTTCTAGTATTCAAAGAAATAAAATGTTATTACTTAGGGCAGAATGTTTCCGTCGTTGGATTTGAATCTGACAGATCAAAGAAAAAGAAGGGTTGCTGAGGCTGAAACTCTGTTCCAATTGTTTGCGACTATATTCTGTTGGAAATAAGGCCCAGTAGGAAGGATCCTACTGCAGGCCGCGTGAGGCCCAGATCAGATTCAGGATGAAAACATGAATAACAATGAGTGAAATATTCATCATGATTTTTGTTATTTCTTTTTTTTTTGCTTTTTACTTTTTAGGGTATTTGGATAAGGAACATTCAACCCATTGGTTTTTATTGTATACTGGGGTTCTAGTTCTTTTTCTTTCTTTATAATGTATTTTTATTTATTTTTTTCTCCTTAGATTAAGTAGATTTTGTAATGTTAATTGGTCGATTCTAACCTTTTTGTTATGTACGGAACTCTGTACAAGAAACAATAAAATTTTTGAATTTAAATTTTGAATTTGAACACCACCGCCAATATTATGCTGACATACTTTTATTTAGTGCAGCCTCTACAAGTAATTTTGTCACTCATAATTTTATCAGGAAATTGGCTCACATTCTAAAAAACAATTATTTTCCAGTATCCGCGGTATGAGGCGAATTTTCAGTTCAATGGTTGAAACCTTGGGTGTTGAGGTAAAATTATCTCACAGTGTTCATGGGAACTTGAGATCATAAGTCCATACCTTCTAGTCAACAAGTTCATCAAATGTTGGTGGACTTCATGAAAATTTTCGAAACAAGCAGAAGAGGAAGCCCGAAGACGAGAAGAACAGGAACGGCTTGCAGCACTTTGACAATAAAGAGAAAGTTCGGAGATCAACAGAAAAACGAGAAGAGGTAGCCCGAAAACAAAAAGAAAAACAAGATGCAGAGCCGGCTTCAGGAAAACTATGAATGTAGTCTCTTAGGAGCAGACCAAACTCGAAA